CCCCCCGAACTTTTTACAGTGTCAGTTACCCGTGGCATCGTATTACAACACTGTAATAGGATCGTCGATCCGATCGACTGGACTACATCAAGATGTCTGTCACTGGAATTCGCCTTTTTCAAATTTAATCTTTTGACGTGACGAGAGCCCTTTGATGCCATCACCTCTCGCACGAATGATCCAGTCGACCGCGTACGGTTTCAATATCGTGAGACTTCACTCCCGATGTCCCCTTGATAGGAGAACAAAATCAATTGTTTCAAAAATCAATGTCAAGTGCCATTCTTACTCAGGAGTTTTCATGTAATTTTTTTCTCCCATTGTTTATCGAATTACGTCTCGTTTCACGATTGGATTTTGGGATCATTTCTCATTGATAATCGTCGAGTTAAAAAATAATAAAAAGGTAATGCAAGTTATTATATAACGTAATCATAAAAAAGTTTCGTCTCCACATTGTCAGAAAAATAATTAAATTTCATGGACAGTTGAATACTAATTTTCAGGACACTCGTGATAAAATTCCAAATAAATATGACAAGTTCCTATTTCCTTTCTCACTTTCCCCCACGTAAACTGAAAAACCTAGACTGCAGTTTTATTCAACGTCTACTTGAGTCTTCCCGTAATTTATTCTCCAACTTTTCTCCCCACGGATTCGTTGCGACCAATATTGTTAAACTGTCATTGAATCTCAATTCATTTCCCCAACGAAGCAAACAACCATGATTAATAATTACGTAATTGGCAATGTATAAGGGCAAATCTGAATAATTAATTCGAGAACTCAATGCAAATTTGGCAATTTCATTCAGCCAATTAGACCGCAATCCACCTGAATATACCTCCGCATTCATTCCCCAATTCACTGCACCCCACCCCCTGGAATTCCTCCAATCAAGTCAAAAAAATCACAGAACACAACTCAGTCCTTATAACCCCATAAAAACCCATGTCCCTCCTCCCAACATCGATGGGAATGCTGATAACCGCGTTATTACCCCTATAGCCCCTCGAAATTTCTCACGCGGCGCAAGTCACTCCCAAAAAACGAACACATCCCCCGGCCGGAAAAAAGCCGCACGCCGGTGACACGCGATACCTGTGTCGCGTGGGGGAGAGATTTGGGTCGTTAGTCCGGCTTCTTTACAATGCTCGATGGACCTCTCCTATAGATCGCGTTACATCAACTGGGTCAACTATTATACCCCTTCTCCTTCAGATGAACGTGAAACTCATAGAGTGCGAGAGAGGTCTCGACCTCACTCGACATACGTCCTCCATTCATTGTCATTCAATCTTTTTACGTGCGATACAGTCGTGCTATTGAAAGCCCCTCTCCCATGGCGCGCAATCCCAAAAGAATGAAAAAATAATGAAAGAAAACGTCAGAGCCTTTTCACTAAAAAAAAAATGACATGAAAAGTCTCGAGTAAGAATGACACTTGACAGGAAACAATTGATTTTTTTTTCTCGTGTCAAGGGGATATCGAGAATGAAGTCTCGTGATATTGAGACCGGATGCGGTCAACTGCATCGTTCGTGCGAAAGGTGATGACAGCAAAGGCCTCTCGTCACGTCAAACGATGAAATTTGAAAAAGGCGAAGTGAGGATTTTTTCCATCCAAATTTTAGCCAATAGAATAACACTATTTGACTGTTACTTTAAACATACGGAGAGAATATACACTGATAGAATGATTCATTTATTCCAAATGAGATTCGTTAACTATTAACGAATGGTAGAGTTGAATATGACCAAATGAATATTCGTTAATAGATAACGAATGGTTCACTTGAATGGTCAAAGTCAAGTCGAACAAGACTCCTCAAATATACATTCGTTAACTATTAACGAATGAACATTTGGTGGGACCGAATAGACCCTAACCTCCAACCAAAATCCATTCGTTAACAATAACTAATCCGTTCTATCAGTGTATCTACATTGATAGAAAGGATTAGTTATTGTTAACCAATGGATTTGATTCGAGACGAGGGTCTATTTGGTCTCACCAAATGTTCATTCATTAATAGTTAACAAATGCACATTTGAGGAGCCTTGTTTGACTCGATTTCCACTTTCCAAGTGAACCACTCATTAACTATTAACTGCAATTTCCAGTTTTCATTGATTATTCCACTGAGTTTTGAATTTTCAAAGACGAAATTCCCTGAAATTTCAGTGGAACTGCACTATCAGAAAAGAAGCGAAATTTCATTAACATTTGACAAGTAACATTTTCAGGAAAATGACATCAAATGGATTTTTTGTTTGGTTTACAAACAAAAAATCATCAAATTCCAGTGGAACTGTAGTATGATAAAAATTTCCAAGAAGTATACCGGAAATTTCAACCAAAAATTCTCAGCAGTGTGAGTTAAAATCCATTCCAGAATATTGACGAATAAAAATATGAGAATAATAATGAAGCTGTCGCTCTCTAGGGTTTGGAGAAAAATTCCAAAACTCACACGGTCCATTTGTCCGTGCAAAGAGAACTGCATTCACTCCCCGTGATATTGTCTTCATGGCGATAAACTGAAGCAATGTAAAAACAAAATGAGCATCATCTCAGTAATTGTCGCACCATCCCCCAAGTCCAACAAATAGACAAATAAAACCTTGGGCGGATCATGTGTCCTCGGAAACCGCGAGTCCTATGACACTTTCTGGATTTATGAACCGTAATACAGCTCTCCAGAGTGTGTCCTCCAGCGTTGAACGACCAAAAATGGTCGTTAAATTGTCCTGGGGGTACTCTAACTGAAAACGTACACTGCCCAATGTCGTATATGCGGGCATAACCGTTGCTACGTAACATCCTATCGTGTTTCCTTCTCCGATCGTTATATGGATGAGGAGGTTAGGCCCCCTTTCCTGGGTGTTAGTTATATCGGCGCGTGATATAGAATCGTCAGTGCTAGGAGGTTTAGGCCGGTGATGTGCGCTAGACCATCCGGGGAGAAGAGGATAAACTAACGCGTGTCAACGAATCCCAGGTGGTTTGCCTTCATTTCCAGTTACGTGTGCCTTGACGATTCGCTGGACTAACCTGGGTATGATTAATCAACTGGACTTAATCAAGAAGAGAATGCCCAAGTGTATTTTGAGGAATTATACTCGGTGACTTCATGAAATGAAATTTTTCAATTTTTTAGAGGAATTTCGGGACCCCGAAGAGAATGTCGGTAAGAAAATTAACTGTTAATATCTTCTGAACAAATGATTCGAATTGGATGAATCACGGCTCATTTTGAAGATCATAAAAATACCTTGAGAATGGAAGAAAATAGGGAAATTCGACTCTGCGGTTTTTGAGTTATTGACTATTGGAGATAATCCCTTTTTCTCATTTTCCTATAGCCCTCAACTTTAAGTCTAACAACGTCTTATTTTAAGACATTCGAAATTTCAGTCATCACGAGGTTGGTTGATTAGACACATTCTTGTGTCTTACGTCTTAAATTAAGGTTAAACCAGGGATCGGCAATAATCACTACTGTAGTAATATTAAATGAAGTCGGCCTTAAATTCATTAAAATTTACTAACTCTTATTGAAATTTAAAAATAATTGTAATTCTCAATTATTATCAAACAATGAATTCTGAATTTCTGGATGTGATTTTTTGATTAATGAAATACCCGTCAATCTTTCAAAGTCAATTACCGATTCACAAAAAAAATAATTGAAAATTTCAAAAAATTTGACTGATGATTAATTTAATACAAATTAAAAAATGAAAATAAAAAACAATTGTCAATAATTATTAACTAATTAATTTAACCTAAATTTATGAATTTAATTTCTCTATTAATCAAATAATCGTCAATCTTTCAAGATCAACTACAGATGTATAAACTATTTAAAAATAAAAAAAATTGTGC